CTGCCACTGCCCGAGAGGAGCACGAGAGGCCCTAGGCCTGGTGTCTCACAGAGTTGCTGTTTGTAAGGGCCAACATCTCACAAAGAGCCGTATCTGGTCATCTGGTACCACCTCCCAGTGCTGCTGCCTCTATTGCTGTCTAGTCCAGCGGCCAGTGCTGTCCATCCTGACCTTCAGACTGTTGCTGTGAGCTGCTGTCTTGTCATCTTAGTGGCCTGGCCTTTTAGCACCTCCAGATGTAGTGAGTTGGATCCTGGCCTGCTGCTTGATGGCCGCCAAGAGTTCCAGGCCATTCTTAGTGGAATGATGCCATCTTGAAAGAGTGACCTGTTGTTTGGGATGTTTGGACATTGTGGACACTATCTGGGGCAAGATAGCCGGTGACTTGCGGCCTTAGAAACTCTCTGTTTCTGTTTGTTAAATATACCCCACTGTTGTTCCTTGAGCTGAGTGGTCTTACAATAGTGCATGTGGATGAGAACCCAGACAGTGACCTGTCCTCTACTGGACACTGGCTTTAGCACTTTTTCATTATCATAACAAACTGTCTACTCCCACAACCCTTTAGCGTTGGAACTGACAGCCTGGAGAAGGGCGGCATAACCTGCTCCTCCCATCTCCTGTGCTTAGCAGAGACCACTTGCTACTACTATATTAGGCCTAAAAGAGTTTCCACCACAGAAGATTCAGCCCTAAAATTATTCTCTGCAATAACAACAAGAATCACTTGCTCTGTAATGCAGATGAGAAAACTGAGGTTGTGAGAAGTTCTGTGTTAGGTAAGAGCCAAGGTCTTAAAACTAAACTGGCACCATCATCCTTGCATGTGAAATAAACAGAGGGATGACACAACAAATGCTCTGCCTAGTTTGTTACACCTCATTATAATTTCCTCTGTTAGCTGAGCTTTATCGGTCTGATAAAGACCTGAGGAAATGAGTCATCAGAAGGGTAAGGTCATCAGGGCACAACTTCACAAACATCCACAACATGCCCCCCATAAAATCTAGCTCTCAATAATGTTCCAGTTACTATGGCTCAAACAAAATTACCCCAAAACTTAGAGTATAAAACAACCATTTATTATGCCCCTAGAGAAATGGGTGAGGAATTAGGACAGGACATAGACAGGGAGATTTGACTCTATTCCATCAAATTGGGGGCGTCAGCCTCAAAGACTCAAAGGCTAGGGGCTAGAATCATCTAGAGACTCTTTCACTCACATGCCTGGTGGCTCAGACTGCTTTAGGTGGGGGGACCTCGGCTCTCTGTGCGGCCCCCTCCGTCTGGTCTCTCCATATAGACGCTGTCACTCTACCCTGATGGTCAGCTTCCTGGGCAGGCACCCCAAGAAAGAGCCAGGCAAACTCTTTACCCTCTCTATGACCAAGTCTCAGATGTCACATAGCATTACATTACACGTGCATCCGTGTGTGCCTGGCATATATGCAATGTGTCTGTATTAGCTATTGCCTCAGAACAAATTACTCCCAAACTTCGTAGTTTAAAACCACAAACATTTATGATCTCATGTAGCGTCTTAAGGCCAGAAATCTGGGAGCTGAGTTGTTCTGGCTCAGGGGTCCCCTGAGGTGGCAGTCCAGCACTTGTCTGGGCTACAGACATCTGGAGACTCAATGGGGCTGAAGGTCCTGTCTCTGAATCACAGGAGCATTGGCAAGAGGTCTTTGCTTCTTAACATGTTGGCCTCTCTCAGGGCTGCTCTACCATGGCAGCTGGCTTCCCCAGAGCAAGTGACCCAAGAGAGGAAGAGTATAAACAAGATGGAAGGTGAAGTTCCTTTTAAAGCCTAATCTCAGAAGTGAATCAACACCACTTTCTTCCTGTGCAGTTTCTCTGAGGCAGTATAGGAAGAAAACACACACGGGAGAAAAACAAGAGGTAGGGTTCTCTTTGGAAAACATAATCTGCACATAAACAGAATTATTCTCTCTTCCCTCATTTCATCTTTTAAAAACATGATCTGCCTTTTGTTCCTCTCTATCCTCATGTCCCCACTTCTGGCAATAGGTACTCAATAAATGCTTTTTAAATGGATATTATGCAAGATTTTACTGGTGCTTCCCAGAGCCAGTATTCTTCCAGCTTCTCATTCCTCTATGGGTGGGTGGGCCTGGTGACTGTTTCTAGACAATTAAATGTGAATGGAAAAGGCCCATGTCACTGTTGAGCTGAGGGAATGGAAAGCACAGTTCTGATCCACAAGTCTCTTTTTCTTGGATGGCATCCCCAGAAGTGTAGAAGCCAAAAGTTCCAATAGGTACAACTGTAAGTATGAATAGGTTCTGCCTATTTTCACCCCAGACTTAAGTGTCTATGTGGACAGAGACTCTGTCTCCTGTGTGACACATGCAGCAGGCATGTGGAAAGTCTCTGAGCTCTTTGAGAACACCCTGCCCTAGCCTGATTATGAACAGATCATCTCTGATCAATCCTGTTACCCGGAGTTATAGATGGAGAAGCTGGAGCTCAGAGAAGCCATTAAGACTTGCCAGAGATCATCAGTAAGTAAATAACGGAGCTGAGGTTTGAACTGAGCCCTCTGGCTACTAGTTTGGGAGGTAGCATGGTGATTAAGTTCATGGAGGTCTGAGTTAATGACCTTAAACTGACACCCGATGAGTCAACCACTAAAATTCTCTATGCCTCAGTGATCTCAGGTTAGAACATGGGTTCATCACTGTTACTTTCTTCAAGAGGTTGTGTGATAATTAAGTAAGAGTCAAGTCGAAATAAGAAGTCCCTGATACATGATATTCTTTGTCGGTTTTATTGTCATCATCTTCCTCACCACAGCTTCAGAACAGCTAACTATTCATGGCTCAACCTTTCCCTGACTCAGCTCTGTTTCGAGGGCATTGTCCAATCAATTTCAAAGTCCCAATATTATCTGTTCCTCTGGTTTCTGTTGGTGAAGATGACAAGGTGACTTTTTTTCCTTGTGAAACAACACATTTTAACTCTCTGCTTTTAGCTTTTCTCTGTGCAACATACTTCTTTGGCATTTAGCAGCCATTATAAGCCATTATGAGGGCAGGAAGCAGCACTACTGACTCAAGTTAGTAGGTACAAAACAAAGTGGATTCTCACTCTGCCAGCACTCAAGAACTTACTGCAAGATAAGATTCTGTGTGTGTGTGTTGCTTTGTTTTGGCCAGAGTTTTAAAATTATTTTTTATTTATTCTATTTTTACCTTTTATGTATTCATTTTTTTAAAGATTTATTTATGCTAACAGAACTGGGGTACAAGCCAGAGATGTGGTGGGTGAGATGATTCACCAGAGACAGAGTGAGGAGCAGAACAGGCCGATGGACTGAAATACACTGCTGAGGGGAGCGGTGGGCAGGTCGGGAGAGGCCTGCCATGCCATGTGGGTCAGCTCCTTGGCTGGGGATGGAACCCGTGCTGCAGTGGCTTCTGAAAGCTTCATAGTGCAGTGCTTTAACCCTTTGCGCCACCAGGGAGAGCCCATATGTATTTTTTATTATTATTTATTTTCTAAGATTTATTTATGCATACAGAACTGGGATACAGGCCAGAGGTGCAGGGGCAGCGAGAGGAGGATTCACCAGAGACAGAGTGGGGAGCAGAACAGGCCGACTGTTGAAGTACACAGCTTAGGGGAGCAGCGGATGAAACAGGAGAGGTCTGCTGCGCGATGTGGATCATCTCTGGGGTGAGCAGGGATCAAACTCATGCTGAAGTGGCTTTAGCTTCTCAGTGCTGTGATTTAACCCACTGAGGTGATATCTGGGAACCTCCACCAAGTCTTAACCACCATAGGGTACCCACCACTAACTCACCCACGGGGTTCACCACCATAGATCACTGAGCTTCCTTCCCTCTTTGTTCTTTCCTCTCCTCCCCTGTGTTCAGTGCTGTAGTTAGCTATCAAGAGGTAGTTTTTCAGCTTGTCATGCAAGATAAGATTTTTAAGGAAAGTCAAGGTAGCCTTCAGAGTTATGCATGCACAGAAACTGGGGAGAAGAGGCATTTCCAAGGCTCTTGTGTCCTGGTAAAAGAATCAAACATTCCTCAGCATGGGCTAATTAAACAAATGATTATCCAGTTACATAATAAAATACTGTGCAGTCACAAAAAAAAAATGAGAGTGATGCAGATGCTGACAATAAGGTTTCAAATAAGGAAAAAGCAAGTTCCAGAAGAGCACATAGAGAATGATCCCGATTCTTTAAAAGAATGATATTTTGAGTACATGCCTATATGTGTTATACATGTATACAACACACACACACACACACACCTATAAATGGTAGTTTCTTCTGATTGTTTCTTCTGTGGGACTGAGAGATAGCAAGGTCTTCTGAATATTAATTTGTAACATTATTGTTTGAGTTTATCTTTTATTTTTTTTTAAGATTTATTTACTTATGCATACAGAACTGGGGTACAGGCCAGAGGTACAGGGGTGGTGAGAGGATTCACCAGAGACAGAGTGGGGAGCAGAATACAAAACAGGCAGATCTACTGAAGTACACTGCTTAGGGGAGCAGCAGGCGGGTCAGGAGAGGTCTGCCACACCATGTGGATCACCTTCAGGGCAGTCGGGGATCGAACTCATGTGGAAGTGGCTTTAGCTCCTTATTGCTGTCTTTAACCCGCTGTGCCACCAGGGAGGGCCAGTTCATCTTAATGATCATATTTGTCATTCAAAAAGCATGTCTAAAAAAAATCATCCTGTTCTGGAACCAAAGGAGAAGAATGTTGACAACAAGAGGGTTCAAGCCCTGAGTCAAGTAAGCTTAATTGGATTGCTTCATTTAATTTGCAAGGACCTCTCTAAGGTACATGTAGCTGTCCCTATGGCATAGATGAGGACAGTAAGGCTCAGTGTCAGCGTTCACAGTCACATAGTCGAATGTGCACCAAAACACATGAATGAACAAGAGAAGCATTTTCCAAAAAGCATCCCATACGCACTCAGTAAGGTCTGTGCTGCAATTTCTGCAAACTTACCTGTTTATCAAACTCGGGCTTCAGAGATTCTTCTGTGAAGATGTGAAACTGAATCTTCCTGTGGCTGAAGAGCACAGCTGATTTCAACATGACCAGTGTCTCCTCCAGCCGATCACCACAGGCCACCACAGCCAGGTGGATCCAGAGCTCAGGCGGCAGCACAGCTTGGAAAGGCCTGAGTTCTCCAGAGCTCCTAGAAAGAAGAAAACAAGTTAAGGCTATTTCTTCACTTATGGGGAAAAAAAATAGTGAGTGAATGGCTGGAACATTTCAAAACATGAAGAGACACAATCTGTTATATTTTATAAAGTGATAAGCATTTTGACAATTCTTCCTGCTTAGAAAAAAAATACTATTTATTCCCATATTTATACTGGCAATCGCAGGATGAGTCACTATTTGGATGGCTATAGGTGTCTGAGACTTTCCCTGCCAGTGCTCAGCTGTCTTGTGCCTGTTGGCTGCCTACTGGCCCATGTTTGGAAATAGTATTGCTAAACTTTGACAGCTGACACAGGGCTACACGCAGCTCCACTTGCACGGGCCATGGAAATTAGATTTGAATGCAATTTGAACAAGAGGAGGGTGGATCGTGGCTTTCCCATGTGAAATGCGCAACATGATCTTCCCATCATCTGGATGGTTTTAGGTTGCGGTGGAATGCATGACCACTGGACCAAAGGAAAATCATGCAAGTCCGGGAGGTAAGCAAAGAAAACAACACATGAGCCTCCTTTACAGCTTGCGAGAGTCTTGAAAAAAACAGGTGTTAATCCTAACTGCTTTGCTAAAGCTTGTTGAGGTGGTAGGTATGCAATTCGGACTCTGGTGTGAAAACTCCGAGAAGTGAGAAATAGGCAGGAGAAGGGGCAGGTTAAGTTGAAAATCACCAAAGTATTAAATACCGAGTCAACAGCTGAGAGGGGAATAGAATCCAAGAGTCCAGAATCATCATCCAGCTATTTCCTCATAATAAAAGATTTGTTCCAGACAAGGAGATGGAGCCAAGCCTCAAACACACCACTGAGAAACATTTTCAGGCAAGTTTGGAAGAAGTTGGCCTGGAAAAGGTACCTTGAGACAAATGAAACTAATTTACTTGCACAAAAGATCTGGAGACCAGGGAATTTGGACGTTGAATGCTACCTTCCTTCCAAAAACTTCAGCTTCAATCAGTGCACTGCCCTGCTCTTCCCAGCTCTGTTGGATAATGGCAGTCTTGCTCCAGATTTCTTTCACCAGGAAAGTTGAAGATGTGGGTGGAGCACTTTGGGTAGTTTGCCAGCATGATTATTTAAGAGCATGCTTACTAGAAGCACCGCCTCCTGGCTCAGCCATGCCCAGATGCGAAGAGTTACTCAGAACCTACTTATTTTGGGGAACACAGGAAAAGATAAGAGTTGTCCCAAGTATCTCCTGAAGTTGCCCACTTCTCTTCCCCTTAGTTGATGCAGCCACCATCTTTCTTCACCTCAATCACTGCCACAGCTTCCCAGAGGGCCCAGCTGTCTCCAATCTGATCCTCAACCCCCATGATTTCCTTTTATTGGTACCAGTGATGTTTTTCTAAAATGTGACATGGATAATGTTTTCTACTGTCTTCAAGATCAAGTACAGGCCCTCCCTGGTGGCACAAGGGGTTAAGCCTCAGCACCATGAAGCTATCTGCAGCCACTGCAGCATGAGTTCAATCCCTAGCCAGGGCGCTGACCGACAAGGTGCAGCAGACCTTTTCTGACCCGCCTGCTGCTCCCCTCAACAGTGTTTCAGTATATCTGCCTGTTCTGCTCCCCACTCTCTCTGGTGAATCCTCTCAGCTCCTGCACCTCTGGCTGCACCCCAGTTCTGTATGCATAAATAAATAAATTTAAAAAAAAAAAGATCGAATACAACCTGAACAACCTGAGATCATAACTCTCCCTTGTATCTCTTGCAATTGTCCACAGCACGCCCAGCCTGGTGGACTGACATTCAAAACAGTGACAATGACCGTCATATTCTTAGTTTCATATCAGTAATGATAGCAAGTGGGGTTGTGTCCATGTTCAGTAATGAGAGCAAGTGGGATTGTGTCCATGTTTTCCTGGTATATGTATTCTGTCTGTTTGTCTGTCTGTCTCTCTCACACACACAGACACACACACCTTTTTTTCTTGCTAACTCAGTACTTATATGGCAGGCACTGTTTTCATGCTGGGAAGACCTTAGTGAACAAAACAGACCTGGGTGCCCACCCTCGTAGAAGTTACATTTTCTTGTGGTAGGGAAGAGGGAAATAAATAACAGTCAAAGCAAACTGTAACTAAGTTCCTTACTTAGAAAGTTATGAGGGGACAGGTGTTATGAAGGAAATACACAGTTGAGCATGGAGGGGCATAAGTCACTGATGCACTCACTTACATCATATAGTACAAAGTGGGGAAAGTCCAGGGAGTGTGTGCCATGCCATGTCTGAGTGGGAGCTCTCTCCTCTCAGCAGAGCAAAGGGGTTCAATCAGAAGCATAGGGTCCTCCCTGGTAGTGCAGTGGGTTAGGATGCAGCACTGCAAGTTAGCCACAGCAACGTTAGTGCAAGTTCGATCCCCAGCCCTGGAGGTAACCCACATGGCTCAGTAGACCTCTCCTGACCTCTCTGTCTGCTGTTCCCCTCAGCAATGTACTTTGTCAGTCTGCCTGTTCTGCTCCCCACTCTGTCTCTGATGAATCCTCTCATTGCCCCTGCACCTCTGGTCTGTACCCCACTTCTGTATAAATAAATACATAAATAAATCTTTTAAAAAAAAATCGGCCCTCCCTGGTGGCGCAGCGGGTTAAAGCACAGCACTAAGAAGCTTAAGCCACTTCAGCATGAGTTCGATCCCCGCTTGCCCTGGAGGAGACCACATGGCGTGGCAGACCTCTCCTGACCCGCCCGCTGCTCCCCTCAGCAGTGTACTTCGTCGATCTGCTTGTTCTGTACCCTGCTCTGTCTCTGGTGAATCCTCTCACCCTCCGCATCTCTGGCCTGTACCCCAGTTCTGTATGAATAAATAAATCTTAAAAAAAAAAAATCAGAAGCATGTCTGGTGCATTCAAGAAGCCTTGCCTTTGGGACTTAGCTGCCTTCTTCCTCAGCTTCCTGAGTGGGTTTTCATATCTGCTACTAGAGCCACCTCCCACCTAACTTATATGAAGGGTGGGAAGGCACAGTACCCACCCTCACCCTCTCCGGGTTCCACTTTCTGCAGTTTCAGTTACAGTGGGGTCAACTGTTGTCCATGAGAGAGAGTGAGGGACAAAGACAGCATTCACGTAGCTTTTATTACAGTGCTTATTACAGTAATTGCTCTATTTTATAGTTGTTGTAAATATCTTGCTATCTAATTTACAAATTAAACTTTATCATAGGTCTGAGTGTACAGGAAAAAACACAGTATCTACAAGGTTTGGTACTCTGAGATTTCAGGCATACCTTGGACCCCTGGAACTTATCCCCACAAATATGAGGGATAACTGTAATACTAAAACCACAGCCAATTAAAAAGATTTCCACTGAAACGTTATCCAAAATATGCTAAGAAAGAGATTATGCAAAAATATTTGTTTTTTAAAATATTGAGTATAATATTTTTGGATCACACTTTGATCCAAAGGTACAAATGAAAAAAGTCTGTATTTGGGCCCTCCCTGGTGGTGCAACAGGTTGGGGGACAGCACTATGAAGTTACCACAGCCACTGCAGCACAAGTTCGATCCCTGGCCGGGGGGCGGGGGGGGGGGACCCACATGGCGTGGTTTCTCTCCTGACCCAACTGCTGCTCCCCTCAGCAGTGTGCTTCATCAATCTGTCTGTTCTGCTCCCCGCTCTGTCTCTGGTGAATCCTCTCACTGCCCCTGCACCTCTGTCCTGTCCCCCAGTTCTGCATGCATAAATAAATATTTAAAAAAAAATGAAATCTGCACTTCAGTGGTCCACCTCTCTCCTTTGCAGGCTTCGGTGCTTCAGGATAGCATGCACATAAAGCAAGAGCTGGCAAATGCGGCCTTTCTCAGTGTCTGGTGACAGGTAATAAAAAAAAGAAAAAAGCCTTTCCTGGTGGCAGCTCAAGTATTGGTGGTTGGGATTTAATGAGTCCTTTGCTGTTCTGACTGCTTTACCTCTCACATTACATAAAACAATCTGAGGCTTCAGGTAGTAAGTGCTTGAGTTGTGTGGTCACGGACAATGATCAAGTTTAAAGGGGCAGGAGTGGTGTGCCTTTCACCAGCTCTCACTAGTAGCACACTCAGCAGTGCTCAAATGTCACCACCAGACAGAGAAGATGACGAGACGTCCATTTGAGGAACCCAGGAACTGGACTCCTTAAATCATGGGTGGTGGTGGGGAACAGGCTTGGGGAATTATAGCACTGTTTTGACTCATGACTTACTATGTTCTTTTTCAGTAAAGAACTAAAGAGGATCAGAAGCGAACGTTTGCTGCCCACAGTTTCTAAAGACTGGCTGCTAGGATTGGAGCTGATGGTATGCTCCTGGTCACTATGCTGGTAGAGCCTGAATAGGAGTTCGCTTAGCATAGTACAAAGCAGAACCGACAGATGGCAGGCAGCTCTCTGGCGATGTTCATTGAGCACCTGGATCCAGGTGCACCTGACCTTACTCTTGGACAGTTCAGCTTAGACGTGAATTAACCCCCTTTTGCTTAAGCCAGTTAATAGCAAGCTTACAACTTAGCATTCAAAAAAAAAAAAAGTTCTAAAGCAGATCTTAAAAATATGTTTCTGATCATCTTACTCACACATCCTCCTCATAGTCTCCCCTTGAGTCATCCTTTGAAGTGCTGATGGAGTCCATCCCTCGCTTGGTGCTCCCTGCAAGACTCTGACCCCAGTCTTCATTATTCTTCCAGTTTTGCAGCAGAAAAGATACCATATACTATCAGGTGAAGGCGGTTCCCTACCTGGCTGTGCTTCATGGTCACTAGAGCTGTTTGTTAATCTGCAAGCTCCCACTCTACAAAGACTCCAACGCAGTGATCTATCTTGAGGTCCTGGAGTTTGCATATTAACACAAGTGTACCATGGTCACCCATAGTGCAGCTGCAGCCAGCTGTTCTCTCCCCCACAAACTCCCCTTCATACCTTCAGGAGCAGCTGAACTCTTTTTTTAATTTTTTTT